ATATATTTTAACTTTAATAGATACATTTTCTAAAAAAGCTTATGCTGCTCCACTAAAGAATAAGACAGGGTTGGTGGTTACAGAAGCCATTAAAACCATTCTACCAAAGGGGGTTAAAAACATTCAATCCGACAATGGAAAAGAATTTTTTAATCAATATTTTAGCAAACTAATGAAAAAATTAAATATTAATCACTATCACACATTTTCTACAACTAAGGCTGCAATTGTGGAGAGGTTTCTGAGAACTTTAAAGAATTGGTTATATAGAGAATTTAGTGCTCAGGGGAGTTATAAATGGTTGGATTTACTTCCAAAGTTAATTCGAAAATATAATAATAAAGTGCATAGATCTATAGGAATGAAGCCTAACCAAGTGAATATTAAGAACAGTAAATATGTGCATGAGAGGTTGCATGAAAGGACTTCTAAAGTAGTGCAAGTTAAAAAGCCAAGATATAAGGTAGGTGATAGCGTGAGAATTTCCAAGTATAAACATGTTTTTAGTAAAGGATATACCCCAAATTGGACAGGGGAACTATTTACAATATCAGAAGTTAAGAATACAAAGCCTGTGACTTATATCTTGAAAGATGAAAATGGTAATATAATCAGAGGAGGCTTCTATACAGAGGAGTTGTTAAAGACCAAATATAAAGACATGTATTTAGTAGAAAAGGTAATTAGGAGAAAAGGTGATTTATTGTATGTCAAATGGCTTGGGTTCCCAAGTAGCCAGAATTCATGGATTTCCACTAAGGATGTCCAAGGGAGCATGCCCGCGACCAGGAGCGCGCCCACGCCATGAGCCGAGTTCGCACATACATGATTTTGAAATAGAAATATAATATATCAACTGGAAAGGGGAATGGTAGATGTACTAGCAATTGTGCATGGGGCAGAGGGGAGTGGTGAGGGGGTGAGGGGTGAGGGGGGGGGGGGGAGTTGGCCCAAAAATGTCGACCCCCAAAAAACGGCGGCGACAAACTATACTAACAATATTAAACAACTCATACGTCTAATATATAGATAAGATAAGACAGAAATATAATACATCAACTAGAAAGGGGAATGGTAAATGTACTAGCAATTAGGCATGGGCGGGGAGTTGGCACAAAAATGCCGATGCGCAAAAAACGGCACCGACAAACTATACTACTTCCGTTCATATTATACAAGTTACAAAGCCCATCCACTAATCCACACGGGTGTCTTAATGGCTCGTTTCGTCCAACTAATGCTGTAAATTTGAAACTTTTCTAATGTTAATTTCTGATTGATTTCTAGAGTTTGGACATAATTTGGTAGTGCAATGGATTGGAAGTGTTGGTAATAGTTATTTTTTAAATCTCTGTACACTTTTTTATATTATAATTTCAATAAATGTATTTTCATAACTCATCAATAGAGTAATGTAATTAGAGAGAATATTTGCATACAGATGAATTGTAGAGAAAATAAATTTAAAATGTGAAATAGTTTTCAGATAAAGTTAGGAATTAAAATTTTCCAAGGATCTTGGGGATTTATTGTTTAAATTTATGCCGTATTCCCTTGAAAACATTGGTGTAGCGCTCCAACATGCATTAAAATCCAAGCACAAAAAATTAACATTTTATTCTTTAGTAAATAAAATTTTTACAGGGGATCAAATCACAAGAAACTATAAATAGGGACTCAATTAAAAACAAACTAAAAAGAAACTGGTATGATTAGTAATAAAAGTATGTATTTAATTTACACATTTTAAATGTCATAGTTCCAATACAGTAACCGATTAATTATTGCTCCCCTTCATTTGTAAAATTGCTTTTGAAATTTTCAGCGGGTAAATTTGAGCTCCCGATGACATCTGTCATTGCCAGCTAACTAATTATGCTAGCTAACTGTTGTACCTTTCCCTTCAACTTAAAACAAAGATAAACTTACATAACAATTAAATTGAAACTACAAATAAGGTACTATAACAGGTCGAATTTTGCAATAATACAGTGTGAAACATTCTCCGCTCAGATTCAAATCCGTGTATTCTAGTTTAGCCCGTGATGTATAACCGTTTATACAATCCAAAGTGTGTTTAAAGAGCCAGGAATTCTCTGCATTGTACCACTGTGCTTGACGTATGGACTTTAAATAGACTCCAGATGTCTTAAACTTCCATCCACTCTAAATTGAGGTTTATTTCTGCACACAAGATGATCGATTCAACTTGCAGAATGCTGCACTTGACCTTGAGTTTGGCACAAATGCAGCATCTCGATTTATTTTGCTCTTGGTTGCTGTTTTTGATACATCAATTCACTGCCACTTCAACTTGTTAGGATTTTCCTTAGTAAGTAGTTTCGGTAAGAAATAAATATAGGTGTAGTTGAAGGGGTGTGTTATCTATAAAGTCTAGAAAAGTATACAACTAAGATTCCGTCATTAATTAAATCAATCAGAAATTTAGGCTACTCTTTTGTTAAAAATGATACGGATAAATTACCTTGTTTTTAGGCTGTTGTTTCTTTCATAACACTATAATATATCAATTGGGAGTATCCTGCAGGTAAAATATATAACATTAATAAGGAATATGGAAATATTAAAAAACTTAGTATCAAAGATTAAAATAGTAATCTACTACTTAGATCTATGCTAGTATGCGAACCATCGGTGGTGAATCTACAAAACGGGTTAATACAGACATTTTATTTGGGTACCGTACAACTTATATTACTTTTGCTGAACAAATGTTAATTGTATGATACAAAATTCAACCCTGGCGAGGTAAAGGGTTAAATTAAATCATCAAGACAGTCAAGTAGCTTATAAATGTAGAATAATGACTGCCATAACTTCAATTTCAGCTGTTCGCTAAAATGAGGTCGGGTCCCTTGCGTATCTTCCATATTTCTTAGCCTGAATCGAATATTATTCTATAACATGTTTTTCACATCATTAGTAATTAGTTGTTTCTTAATAAGCAATTAATACTGTTAAGTTCGTTGATTTTGGAATAAATTAATTCGTAACTACAGAAAGAAACAGCAGGTAAAATTATATACAGAACTGACTAACAAATTAATTATGGACAAAGATATATTGCCAATATAATCTTAAGATTCAAAATTGTAATGCTAGAAATAGTGGTGTAAATATTCTAAAAAGTAATGTTGAAAAAACAATAAAAATCAAACTGTTTAATGATGTAAATATTATAATGGTAGGAGACCTCCTATAGAAGACAATTGATAAGCATTGTAATGCTTCGTATGAATGTAAAAACATTTCTTTTCACCGAAGTGCTGGACAGGTTTGTAGAATTATTTTACATAAGATAAATGGCATTCAAAAAATGTTTAGTAAAATAAAAAATATATTTAACAACTTCATTTAGTTTGGATTATTAAATATTATTTTTTACTAGGTTGTACAACGTTCATAATTTTTTCTTATCGTCACTCATGTACACTTATATCTGAGAATAAAGAATATGTCAATTAAATGTAAAATACATGTTTGAATCTTGGTAGCTAGGAAATAGGACTCGCCTTCGTCTACTGAACCATTGTGTCATTTGATGACTCATTCTCTAAAAATTCCTTTACCATACCATACCATATTCTTTACACTGATCCAACCTATACTTGAATTATAAACAAAATCTCTCACTCCGTTAAAACTCTACAAAACGCTTCATCGCGCCTAGCTCTTCTAAAGAGTTTCATTCATGCAGAACAGAAGCACCCTTTTATAGGTCAGAGCCCACGGGATTGGCTGTGAAACAAAACATCTCCAATCCGTGTATAAAACACAATTAGCAGTTTACGGAACCGAGTTACTGACCGTGGCTGGATTAGATTTGCCGCGCGTAATCCAATACAGATCTCTTTGGGTTTAACCTCATAATTCTGTTCGTTCCCGTCTTTCCTGTCCAGGATTTGTCTAGGTCAAATCAATGGGTAACATAATTTAACACGACTTATTATAAATGTTAATGCTCGAGAGAGATTGTTATTTGTCGTACATATTTTGGTAGAGAGTTCTCCAGTTTGTTGTAGGGACCTGTCCTTTGGTTTCGAAAACGTAACGAAAAGTTGTACAATATTTTATAAACTTATGAAATAGTTAATGTACGTGATTATTTATTAGGTGGGGGAGGGAGGGGTTGAAAATATAATGGTATACAGCAATTTAAATTTATAATCGTTATCTATTATAATCTTTATATTGTCGAGCGACTTCCTTATATTTGATTTAAAATGCACTTAGTATTATGAAAAGTAGGAAATATGGTCAACAAAGCTCATAATGGCTCAGTAGATTAAAAATTCCAACAATCTTAAGTATTGACAATAGAAAGTCAACGGTGTTTATGGTTTATAGAATCGTGGTTAAAACTATTAAACTTCAAATTAATAAAAACGTTAAAGCATTTTGTTAAAAGTGCAATGTTGGACAGTTCGAAAAACAAAACGTGCAACTTAAGTTTGTTCCATCGATGTTTAGTATTATACATCGATGGTTTGTTCTCCGTTATCGAGTTTTTTTTTTTTTTTTTTTTTTGTTTTTTTTTTTCCAGTAAAAAGGGTTTGAAACATTTGTGAAGTATCCAGTAAAAACGTGGGTTTTGTGTCGTTTTCGTGCTGTTGACTCCTTGGTTAAATTTAATTGGTTTCATTTTACACTTTAATTGACTGTTAGGCTATTAACTTGTAATCGCGCCAGCTGTTTGATTGCATATACAATCTGTATGACCAAACGTACACTTTGTGGGTTTATATGTCCACCTTCACATCCTAGGACGTAGGTTCTAGCCAGGAACTGTTAAACACATTACTGCAGGCTAGTCTTAGACATCGATGTATCATACATCGAGTATTATACATCTATCGTCCTAGAGGGTATCGCATTATCACATATATAAAATCCATTGGTGATTGGTGGGATTTGAGCCCGGGACCTCAAGCAAGTCAATTCCCCTTCAGTTCCCTAATTTAAGTTCATGTTTGTTGCAGGGGTTCCAAGATGCAGTGTGATGACATCATCAGACGTTAGTGACGTCACCATCATGTGCTACCCAGCTCTCTGTCTGGTTCTGCTCTTATTGGTATGAACATTTCACGTGCTCACTTTGTAATTAAAGTACTCTGTGGCAATTCATATTGAAGTACAAAATAAAGTCATCCATTTAAAAAACTAAATGAAATGTTATATGTTCCATACAAGTTGTGTTAATTTAGCTTTTAATAGCAATTACTTTTGACGACCAATAAACAAAAAAAACTTTTAAAAAACTATTATGTAAAATTCATCAATTTCCCTGCTTCAGATACTACTACAGTTTGTTAAACAAAATTTACAAATTAGTCATTGACAGCTCTTAAACGCATTGTTTCCATTTACCCCATTTAAATTGCACATTTACAATGAATTTCGACGTTTTTCTCACTTTATATAGTTGCATAATATAATGCAAGGACTACGTAAGGGTATTATAACATAGGTTTTATTTACACCCTGTTTCAACTGAAATACAATAATATTTTTTAGCTTGTACTGTAATAGAATTTGGCATATACATAACTTAACTCGAAAAATATAACTTGCACTAACCTAACTTTGTAAGAGTTGTTCACAATTGTAACGTTCCCAGTTCTGAGGTGGGATTTATGAATAATTCAACCATCCAGGTGAACTATGACCTCTCCTTAATCTTCAGATGCATCCAATGAGATGAGAAGTGCATATCGGAATCACACAGATTCTTGCATTATTCATCGTCAATATTTCACTTACCAATAATGTTTCAGATATTGCCTTCGGGTGAATCAATTCTATACGGAGTCCATTCGAAGGATGTAATAATGTAACTGTATAAAATTTAATTAGTTTAATGCTAACTAGTTTTTTTTGCGTGTAAACTTGTATTCAGTTGTGTAAAATAGAACTTAAACAATAATTGATCAGTGGAAAGGTAATAGAAAACAATATTCAGGATATAACGCATTTACACATTTATTGTATATTATATTGGTAAATCAACTCCATGGCTAGATAAATAGTACATTTTGGAATTAGGATAATAGTGTCTCTTTTTGACTCGAGCTCAAGTATAACTACCGAAGCCACACCGAGGTTGAAAAATGAGCGAGAGTCGAAAAGATGCATTGGATCGTGTGATGAACTATATAATTTACCACACTGAACCTTTCTTTTGGCTATAAAATACACGAATAATGTTTTGTAGTGTTTTATTTTTGTTGGTCAGCTCCTAAAATTACAAAAAATAAAACTATGCACTTGGGGCAAGTCCAGACAGCTGGACGATGTTTAAGTACGTTACTGTCAAGGGGAGTTTGGGCATTAACCTCCCTTTGGCCAACTTTCTACTGGACCTCTGGGAATAAGAAGGCAGAGTTTTAATTAAATTTGCAAACTCGTCCTCACATTTGTGAACGTTGCAATACATTTCATGTGTATCTGCATTTTTGTCATGTTTAGTTATCTCAGTGAACAACTAAAACAGTTTAGAGTACAAAAGTAGCCTCCATTTTTTATTCGGCCAACGCGGGAATACAGGTCTTTCTGGATTGACTTATGTACCCTACCATTTTTATGTACATAAAATGAAAAAAAGTTACTGAAAACTGCTGAATTACTTAATAAATTACTGAATGAAAAAGTAAAAATATATCCGATCAAGCGTCCGGAAAAGTCATAGAATTGAGTTAACTTAGAAAAAGTTCAAATAGCACTATCAATAAAATATAAATAGTCAAAAACTGCCAAAAAATACAAAACCTCAATATTTTCACATTTATTTGTTCGTCTTTTCAAAGTCTTAAATGTGTAGGCCAAGTATTATGTAATCTACATACTAGATCCTTAAGCCTTTCCATAGAAGTATGACAGAATTCTGAATTTTTCAACTTTTAATTCTAGAACAACAATAATATAATAGCCAAAACTTAAATTCTTTCTCAGTGTATTTGTTTGGAACAAATTAAATATCAGTATAAGCTGTAGTCGAGAGATATGTTATAACCTAACCTAACTTTGTTTGGCTATGATAAATCTGGTCTAATTTCATATTATTGTCTAATCAGTATGAGAGTGGATGTACAAATGTGTTCACATAGATTGTGTATACAAAGTAAAACAGTTGTAATTAAACTTTACATATTGCCCACTTAAAAACAAAAAAGTTTTTATTTTTCAAAATTGTGTAGGCTACTTATTTTTATAAGAAAAATTTATGACTAAACTATATCCGTTACCTAATATAAACATATGGCACTTATAGTCACCCATCTAATTAAATAAAAAAAATGTATTGAAAAGAAAAAGTATAGGCTACCTACGTGAAACCCCTATCAGTAAAATATTCAACAAATAACCTTTATTTAATAACAAATTATTCATCACGAAAATAGTAGTTTCAAACAAAACGAGGCACTAAAAAACTGAACCAGGCTGTAAAATAAAAACGATTCGTGTAAAATATAATGTATCGTCCGCAATCATTATATTTGACGGCCGGTCGGTGTAGAGCAATATTCCATAAATTGCGGCGCGCACGCTCTACACACGGCCAAATGTCAAACCAATTATGGGTCGTGTTCTGTTCATTGATCAGATGTGGTGATTTATTTTCATACAGGAGCAATATAGACGTGACTTGTATTCTAGTTTTTCAATCAGGTCTAAATTTTATCCCAAGTAGGTCCAGTCTACGGTGCTTCGCTCATTTTTACAGTTATCGGGTTGGGCCAGTGACTTTTTGACAGTGAATTAGTCATCCTATGTATGGCTTGTGGACAATTTTTTGTAAAAAAATGTATTGAACAAATCATTCATAGATTATATTTCCTTGTAATTGTTGTTAGTAGATAGCTGATGTTACACAAAAGACTTATAATAAATCGTCTTATTAGTTTGACTTCGATGAAAAATTGGCGTATTCGACTTAAAGTAATTTACATCAGTGCACTCTGTCGGTGGCGAATTTTTGTTCCTAAAACTAATTACAAATTGAATGAAATGTCTAATTCTACCCACAATCATTATACAAACCGTACGTTTATGTATCAATCCAAATATGATACTGACGCTAGTTTAATTCTGTTTCCATTATGTTGGTAAATGGTAGTACCAACTAATTAATAAAATAATTCATCAGCACAGTGACGTATATATCCCGAATCGATCTCGCTTGGATTCGAACCAGGATTACTTATAAGCAACGTTAAATAATGTTTATTTTCGGGCCAAAAACGTCATTTGTTTATGTTTATGATCCATACCGGTATTTTTCAAGTAATCGTGGATCCGAACCAGCGACTTCAGATTTTAACGCTAGCCGTAAAACTACTTGGCTTCCCACACGTCTCTTTGTATCTTCTTATTGGTAAATACATTGGCGACGTAGGCACTGATCTGTCAAAATAACTGTGCAAGCTAGTAAATGAATTATGAACTCGACCTGACGCTATCGCCTTGTTACTTGGGCCTACTGGATTATACTTATTAACCAGCTACGCCGTGCGAACCCCTGCTACTGACTGTTATTTCGCAAATTATTGGTTAGTATGTAGCTAACTATTCATTTCTGAAGTGATATATATAATTTAGTGCTACATTCACTTTCGTGGTCAGGTCAGAGGCTTTAATTTGATGTATTTTATCGAGAGCGTCACCACATTTGAATTCACTACTTGGCCTTATGTGACCGCTGATCTAACTTGACTTCATCCTTCGCTTATAGTTGGGTCAAAATAGCCCAGTTACACATCCATTTCATTTGGTAATATACTTGTATGTCGGTTGGATGGATTTTAGAGCAAAATTGTAAGCAATGTCCAATTGAATGAGTTTGTCTACCAGGTCAAACATAGAAAGGATTCTGGAATAGTGTTGACAAAACATTTTGTTTACATTTTAGCCAGAATTGTCAGCAAATTATATAATTATACACTTTTGATTTTATTCAAACAAAACTATTTGTTACGTTGATTTATATTTCTAACCAACCAGTTGTGTTGATTATTGAAATTACTAAGTGTGCCTCCCATTATATCCTTCACATTTGCGATATTCCCTTGTAAGCTGTCACAGCCAATCAAACTTCACCACAGGTAAAATTTAACTCAAAATATGCAATAGTTTCGTATTTATTTCTATATTCAATGTTCTATACATTTTATTATTGTTAATTGCACCTTTTAAGCCCTTTTTTGTTACTACTCAACAACGATTCTTTGCTAGAAAGTATTTTAATAAATGGACCAAAATGATATCCGGGTCCGAAATAGGCTCATCTAAAACAGAACCAAAAACTTTTAGGTTCAAAGGTAGTGCTATAGACATATTAAATTATGATTGTTTGTAAACGTATGTAATTACAAACCCTTAACTCAAACTCACTCTCACAGCGACAATATGTAAGAGTTTCTGCTGACTTGGTAGCCACACTCGGTGATGAAAAATTTATATGCATACTCAAACAAGTGTTCCGGGGTCTGTTTTCATACGCTCTTTTACGATACAATAACCCAACTCTGAGTATGTTACCCGCGAGTTTCTCACGAAACCACAATATAAAATGGTACTTTGATACACAATATTTTGTTGCCTTAACAAAATAAAATACAATATACATATAATTAGATTGTATTTGAGTTTTCTTTATTGCTATGATTAAACTTTCCATATTTGTGCCAAATGTATAGTTTTCTCAAGAGTTTAGATTAAATAATTATTTTCCTTCAACTTTTACAATGATTTTTTATCAACGGGGTCAAATTTGTGTGGTATATATTATTGTTTATTGTTCAGGGTATAAAATTAATATTCGGTACAATTATGAATTCACACACTTATTGTATATTGATAAACTCTCTGTACAAAGAACGCTAAATTATATTTTACGGAGATTAAATAAATATACGTCCAGTAACTGGGTGTTATATTTTATTACAGTAAGGAGGGGAAGTCGAACTTAAGCAGACAGATGCCTAAACTGTAACATAAGCTAGGATCAAAAAGACACTTTTGGCCCGTTTGGTGATCTAACTGTATATTTTCGTTTAAGTGTGCCATTCTTTAAGC